CAATGAAATAACGCATCGTTTAAAACATCTTAGTTTATAAGATCTATCAGTATAGAAATATCAATAGAAATTGCCTTTCAAGTGTTATAATTCAGCGAGGCATTGATAATTTTTTCACGACGATCGTTTGATCAATATTTGGATTTAAAACCGTATCAGCTCCCGTCTTTCTTCAGCTGTATTTTGATTTTAGAACGCCACAGCTCACGAATGCAATATTAACATTAAATCACGGTTTGAAAACACTGATTTTTGGCTTCATGTGATCATAACTCCGCGGAACACCTGTTAAAAAAACGCTTGCAATCACTTTAATGTTTCTTTTTAGAGTTGCAGTAATATATTAATTAATAACCCATGAAACAAATGACAAAAAACAATCAAAATCCTTACAATTCTTCAACATAATATGATTTCCAAAAAAAAAAAAAATCGATTAGAAATCGTTTTCGCTATGCTCATGACTCTTTAACGATAATCTTTAGTAAAAATTAAGATCAATTAAAACGCTAAACAATAAGGTTTTATCAAAGTGTACATTGTCACGAAATAAGAGGGTTTTTTTAAAATTTGACCAAAAAACGTTCCAGAAAAGTAAAGTGAGACCTGTAACGTTATAGCTTACATAATAATGTTTCCTACATCGAGKTTCTGAGAATAATAACAATAATCTGTGTAAAATTCAAACAGGTCGCCGCATACATAAAAGAATATTGCGTAAGGACATCATATCAAAGAATTGTATATCATTCGTGCGGGTTCCCTGTGCTTTTTAGTTTTGGGCTTCCTTTAGCGAATCCATGCCATATATGGAAACAAACAAAATGGCGGATTGTTTAGAAGTGTTTTCGCTATAATATCTGCAAGTTTCCGACGATTTTAAGCTTTAAAAGTCGAGAAAATCGACAAAAACCATTCCTATCGTACTTCCAAATAAGGTAAGATTACCATATATGGCTGCTAAACGAAGGATAACTTTGTGGGGGCAATTGTTTGATATGTCGTGAAGAGTGGCAGTTTAGTCAGGCGATCAAGTGCAAATTGTGTGGTGAACAATTTTAATGTCCTAAATCTACTTACCTCGCGAGCCAATGTCCTTTTCTTCTGTGTTGGATTTCTTCTGCCTCGTGCATCGAATACTGAAAATATCATGATCAAATTTGATTGGCTGCTCTCGATCAATCGACCACGTGACGTCTGTGAAACGAAAAGATGGCGGAAGTTAACTGATCTGAAATGTTGCCGGAACTTCTTTAAAGAATACCCCGCCGTTCAACTACTCATGGATAATTATGAAATTACGATTTATATCGCGTGAAAGCTACAGACCACTTCACATCGATGTGAATAGTAGACCTCTGAAATTGTTACGCAATATACTGTAACTTAATGTATTGTGGGATATGTTTGAAAAAAGAAAAAAAAAACATTGCTTATTTCTTTTGAATTCTCCGGAAATTGATCCCACAATGCATTGCAAATTTGCATTTGCAAAATTGCATTTTTATTGTCAGTAATCTACTTACTTCGCGAAGCAATGTCCTTTTCTCATGTTCTTCTGTGTTGGATTTCTTCTGCCTCGTGCATCGAATACTGAAAATACCACGATCAAATTTGATTGGCTGCTCTTGATCAATCAACCACGTGACGTCTGTGTTACAAAAATATGGCGGAAGTTAACAGAGCTGAAGTGTTGCCGGAACTTAAGAATACCCGTTTAACTACTCTTGGATAATTACGATTTATATCACGTGAAAGCTACACAGCACTTCACAACGATGTGAATAATAGACCTATGAAACTTTACGCAATACAGTCAACTCTTGCCTTACGGACACCCCGCTACAACGGACACCTCGATATTGCGGACAGTAAAACATTGAATCCCCAGCGCAAAAATACAAAGAAATGACTGAAAGTAACTCTCGTTACTACGGACTCTCGCTACTGCGGACACTAAATTACGGTCCCGAGGGTGTCCGTAATAGCGAGAGTTAACTGTATACCGTATACTCAATGTATTGTGGGATATGTTTTGGGTAAAAAACATGCCTGATTTCTTTTTTAATTTCCCGGAAATTGATCCCAAAATGCATTGCAAATCAGGTAGGTGACATGAAAGCTTCATATTGAGTATATTCATGTTTCTAGGCACTTTAAGAAGTACCTCTCTGTCCCTTATCTTGCAATCTTAGGGACCCCCAATCATGACAACCCCCTCTCCAAAATGGCAGGACAAAAAGACAATATGACTAAAAAGAATGTGCTTTACTTGTAAATCAGATTCCAAAGTC